TCCATGCTTTCTGTGTGTTCTGTTCCATGCTTTCTGTGTGTTCTGTTGTGTTCCATGCTTTCTGTGTGTTGTGTTCCAGAGCCTTTGAGACTCAGATGACACGGCTGGAGGCGGAGTTTGTGCGGAGGGAAGCTCCACCTTCCTACGGCCAGCTGATTGCACAAGGACTCATCCCCCCCGTGGAAGACTTCCCTGTCTACAATGCATCACAAGTATGCAGACAATTTCTATTTCAGCAGCCAAACTGCTATAAATTAGATACAATCAATCTGGAACTGTATTTCAGTGGCTAATTATATGGAAGTAATATAAAAATGTGTATGTGTTACACAGAGCTGAAGAGCCACAGATCTTGCTGTGGGTAGTTTTGAACACATTTTTATATATTTTTAATATATATTTTGAACATATTTTGAATGTATTTGTTGGGAAGCAGCAGTGAGAATCACTTTTGCTGTACATCAAGGTAGAATGGAGACAGATAGAAAGGTCACAAAGTGGATAGAAGAAAAAGGCTTTTCAAGCTGATACTGTAAATACACCTGAAATGATAAGAAAATAAAGTCTCTATTAGCAGGATTTTTGGAAAATTGTTAATTTTCCAAAATGATTGGTTTTCATTTATAGGTAAATTACACTGGCAGGCCACTAAGTCATTCTGAAAACTCCTTTATGGTTCAGAAGTACCCATCTGAGATACAGTTCCTAATGTGATAAAACACTTGTATTTTGTTACTCCAGTGGGAAATTAACTTCCTGGACAGACAAGCGTAGCTGAAACTCATAAAGGAAACACTGTAAAGAACAGAATTTGTAGCTGCCCTTCCCTGGCACTGTTCAAGGCAGGGTTGGATGGGGCATTGACCAACCTGGTCTAGCGGGAGATGTTCACATCAGGAAATTTGGAATTAGACGATCTTTAAGGTCCCTTGCAAGCTAAACCATTCTGTGAATCTATGAGACTTCTGGTACAGACAGAGCTGTCTTTGGTTTTAGAATGAAGGGAACCCCTGATGCAGGGAATGGTTGGCATCTGACTCCATTGATTGAGAAAGTTGAACTTTATTAATAACTTATAACTAATAAATTATTAGTTATTATATTAAATAATAACTGCTTTATTAAACTATATTATATTCCATTAATACTATATTATATTAAAGAGATACTATACTACAAAGAATACTAAAGAAAAACCTGTGACTTTCTCAAGACAGCCAGAACACAGCTTTGAGTGATTGGTTATGGTTAATTAATATAAACAACCATCCCCAGAATCCAATTACCAAATCCCTTCAGGTAAACAGTCTTCCTAACACATTCCACATGTGCAAAAACAACAGGAGCAGCAAGTAGGGATAAGAATTGTTTTCTCTTCTTCTGTCTGAGTTTCTCCAGGAAAAAACCTGGGAGAGAGAATGATCTCTCTCTGTTGAGCGAATGTGAATGCTACATTTGGTGTTCTCCAATAGTTTGTTAGATAATACGCATTTAAGAAGCAAGCACAGGGATGGAGTCTGAGTATTGTGGCAAAGTGGAGGTATTCATGGGGAGAGGAGGGTGTAGCAGTCTCTGCAGTGTGTGCAATGCTGGTCTCTCCTGTGCGTTGCAGGCCTCCGTGCTGCAGAACATCCGCACGGCCATGCGCAGGCAGATGCGGCGCCACTCCTCACGGCGCAGCTCGTCCCGCCGGCGCCTGGGCCGCCTCTGGAGCAGGCTCTTCCACAGGCCCCGGGTGAGAGGACAGATCCCCCTGCTGACACCTGCCCGCACCTCGCAGACCACCCTGGGGGATGGCATCATCAGCAGTGCTGCTGGGACTGCTCGGAGCCCTCCCCCTTCCCCAGCAGCACCCGGCTCCGAGGCCAATGGCCAGGCCAGGGCCCCACAAGAAGCTGGATGTAGCAGCCTGCAGCCAGAGACTGAAATCACAGAGCCATCGCCTTCCAGCACCTTCCAGCCAAATACTTGCACAGCAGCACACGCAGAGCCTGAGGCTGGACACACCAATAAATCTTTAAGTGCTGACTCTGACCGAGAGCTTAAGCAGTGCAGTAAAGCAGATACAGGAAAGGCTTTCAGAGATCCTTTATCTGAAAGCGTTACAGAAACGATCCATGGAGGGTCAGTATCCAGGAGGACTGTCCCAGAGGACAGTAGTTTAAGTGGAAGTCATCCACTGAGTGAAGATCCATGTAGATTACCCTTAAAAAAGTGGGAGTCTGGTTATCCAGACAGCCCTATGAATGTTCATATCCAAGTGAATGGACAAAACCAATGTTGCCCTAACTCATACCAGGAGGAGCCTTTGGGTGTTCATGCAGCTTGTTGCCATTCTGTGGAAGTGCCAATGTTACAGTCATCTACTTCCCTCTCTGAAAACAATACCAGTGATGATGAATCTTTACTTGTTTGCTAATAAAAATTTTTGTTTTGTCCATGTACATTTTGTAGCTTCATTGTTTTTGTGGCAGTGCACTTCGATGGTAGGTGGTATGTCTGTGCTCCCAACTTGCTCACTAAAAATGAGTGTGCTTTAATGCCACAGAGAGTGCAGTCAGGGCTAAATGGGACATGCTTATGTCACTGTTGCTATTCCTGAAACTGCAGTGGGGCACAAGTAGGCCAGTGTGTGATGTTATGGGCTGGGAGAACAGCAATGTGTCACTGCAGTTTGGAGGCATCTCATTCTCTGGTATTTCTTTTGTACTTTTGCTCATTCTGCATTCAGTGTTCCTTTGACTTTCAGTGGTCTTACTGAACTAGAGAACTCTGCTGGAACCTGGGGCAGACACCAGTCATTGTTACTCTGAGTACTAAGCTACAAATAACATTGTCTTTTTAGGCATAATAATTTAATTAAAATTTAAATCATTTTAATTAAAATGCTTAGGAGGAATTAAAATCCCTTTCTCTCTTATGGAAACTGCTCACTTCTTTTGCTCCCTTCAGGAATGTTTTGATGGCCATATGAATCTTAAAGCATCCACTAAATCCAAATTTTCTGTGTGGAATACCCAGAATGAAACCAGGTGTCTTAGCTACTAAAGCTTTGTAAGCAGAGTTCAGTACAAGTGGAGTGCATTGAACCTTAGTTGCAGCAATATTTCTTTCTGGCATTGTCATGTGTTGCCTTTTCTTCATGCTGATGTTGGGAGTGTTGCAGAATTGTTTCCTCCTTCTCTACCCTTGGTCCTCTCCTCCCTTGTGTTTTTCTGAGTAAGCTGGTACCACTTTGAGAGTGCCTGAAGGACCCTGAGGCTTTCCAGCTCCTTGGGGCTGCACTGAGAAGTGCTGAGCCCTTGGTCAGGATCAGACTTCTGGTTTATTTTGAAATAAAATCTCTCTCATAAATTTACTTGTAAATCTGCTACCTAAGTGCAGATGTATAAGCCAGTGGTTTTATTTATCTTTCATTTTTAGAGAATGTTATTTTGCTTTTTTATTTTTGTTCTTTTTTTTCTTTGAAGAACTGAAATACTTTAGTGCCATTTTTAAAGCTGATATTTTATAGATTGTACACACTTAAATGTAAACTGGTGCCTTTTTGGTTTTTAGAGTTTAATTAAAAGTAAACAATTTGTTTACCTGTAAGAATTGCTTAATGAGGAGTCCCTGTAGAATGCTACAACTCTGCTGGGTGATGGCTTGGTCCTGTTGTGGTGGCCAGACTGTCCCTGCTCTGACAAGAGCTCTTCAATTCCCCCCTGACACAGTGACACACAAAAATGCTTTTTAAAGGAGGTCACCAGGAGGTTGATGCTGCTGCTCTGTAAACATCTGAGTGCTCCAAAACCTGTTTGTTGTTGTGGGAATTCAGGTTGTGCAGAGTTATTAACTGAACCTGTGAAATTTGGCATCTGTGGGCCTGAGTTGTGCTGCTCACAGGACTTTCCTGGCTGTAGAGGCAAACAGACTTCTGCAGTGAACAGTTTACATCAAGGTGTCACAGATTTTTTTCCTTTAAATGGGCTATATTTTGCCCTGGATCTTTCACTAGGACTTTCTTTGGGGGAGTGCCTTGAAAAACACAAGGAATAGGACTTTTCCTACTAAAATGTAATACAGAAGAATTAAGTAGAAGTGATATTCTTCCTCTTCTATTGCAAGTTGGTTTCATACTGTGCATTCCAGAGTTAGAAGATTCAAATTCTTGAGGGCATTAATCCCAGGAAGGGCTTGTGGCAAAATGCATAACAAGAGTTGTAGTTGCATTAAATAAATACTGCTCATTATTTTTTCCAGGTTCTTCTGTGATCAGAACTCATTTCATGAAAGAAAATGTACTTTTGAAAGAGATCTTGCTTTCCTAGCATTTGTAAGCATTTTGGGTACATTCCACTTTTTCAAGGCCATGTACTGTAGTCATTGCACTGCCAGAGTATTGTTTCCATCAAAGGCTAGTGTCTTTATTTTTTTTTTGTCTAGAGGTAATTTTAAATCCATAGTTTTGTATATCTAAGGTAGTTCAGTACAGCTAGGAGAAAGAGTAAAGATTTGTTTTGTGTAGATATGAAGGACCTTAGAAATACATGTATATTTATTTCTGTTACAGAAAAATATTTCTATAATAAAAGAATGCTGATCATGCCATGCCTCAAGCCATCACCATCATAAGGCTCATAAAACTGAAATATGTACTTCAGAGTACTGCTGTATTTTGGGAGCAACCCTGAACATCTAAGATGTGTAACTTCAGATTATTTCTTAGGTGTACCATACATATTTTGTGTATTGATTCATTTGGTAACTCAGTGAAAATTTTACTGAGAAGGTTTTACTTTCAGAAACTTAAAAAAATCCAGGTTAATGAAAATTTGATGTTGAACCATGCAGAAGTATCCACAGCCCTCATTACTGGACTGTATACAGCTTTGCATCAATGAGAAATACAAGCCTGGTGCTCTTTGTAAGCACTGACTGCTGCAGGGCAGGTTTCTCTCCTAGCTCATACCTTGGAAGGGAAGAGCCACAAATTCAGTATTAATTTCACAGAAGAAATCTCTCTGCACTGTGAGCACAAAGAGGTGCAGTGTCCTGGAATGTCAATACTTGTGTAAATCACAAAGTCTGCCTTAGTGTGTGTGTGCCCTTCTGCCATCTCCTGTAAGTGTTAAACAGGGAATCTACCATCCTTGAAGGCACCTCAGTTCTGGCTCATATAAACTGCCTCCCTGTATTCAGAACTTCCTAAAATTAGAAAAAAAAAGTGGAAATACAACACTTTAAAGACTTTACAACCTTAAGTTAATCGGCTAGTAAACTTTTCCAAATTTTTGTTACTTTAACAATGTTTATCTGCATTCTTTAAGGATTTTTGTAGACAGGATACAAAGTGTTTAAGCTGTTTGGTTGATTTTGGTTTTTTAAGATACAAAATTCCCCTGTCCAAGCAAGCCAAACAAAAAAAACCCAACAACCCTTCTAAAAAACCCCTTTCCAAAAAACCCCTCTGAATAGAGAAGAATAGCTACTGGTTTAAAAAGAATGCAAACTCATAGGTAGCATAAAGGGGAAAAGTGATTCTCTTAATATTTCCTTTATTGCTGTTAAAGCAGGGAATATTTCTGTTAGAAATTCTGGTACCTTCCTGCTTGTCTATTACTCTGCAACATCCCTTAAACATACTTGTTCTCTATTTCTTGTTCTCTGGTTTTTTTTGGCTTTTTTGTTTGTTTTTGTGTTGTATGTATTGATTTATTTACAACATTTTATCATAGTGTGTGTGCAGGCAGATGATTCAGGTATGGCATCATGTTTGTCAGTGTCTGCTGCTGCTTCCTGGACTACTGAGCAAGATACTGAGCCAGAAAGATGCTGGGCATCATTGTGCTTTGCCTTGCTTTGGATCTCTTAATTTTTAATAAAATTTGACATGCCCAGAGCCTGTGGGTTCCTGACTGTCACTCTTAACACCTAAGCTTGAGGATTCTTAAATTCTATTCCCATGGTCTTAGTTTGACTCAGACTCTTATGTGTCAACCCATGACTCCATGTGTGGACATGAATTTGGTGGGGGAGGGTGTATTTTGGTTTGGTTTTGTACCTTGTTTTTTTTTATCATCTGCTTTTTCTGGTAGCTGAAGCTGGTCAAAGGGAGGTATTTTAAATAATACATGTGAAATCTTGGTTCTAGGAAATCCACTGTGGTATACAGCTGCCTTTGATGTGTATGTATGCATATATCCCCAAAAAAAAAAAAAAAAAAAAGCCCTGAAGTGTATGACTGTTAGGGTGGTTAAAGAAATAATTTCTGAAGTACAGCCTCTCCCCTTTCTGAGGCCAATGCTTGTTTTGCTGATGCTTTTCCTTCCTGATATCTTTGAGCCACTGCTGGTTCTGTCCTTCTCTTTTTTCAGGAGAAGGTGAAGGCTGAGTTATTTTGTGTTGACTGTGTTCCAGACTTGGAAATCTGTATCTGTAATGAAGAGAATTGGACAGACTTCATGATGATCCCAGATTTATGAAAGATGGAAGGACCCAGCTTGTTGCAGAGGGATCTAGCCTAGCAGAAAGGCTTGGCTTTGCTGTGTTTTGGTTTTGTTTTGCCATGAAATGCTCTTTCAGCTACAGGAGCAGAAGCATTAATGTTTCAAACCATACCAGCATACCCTAATGTGAGGCTGAAATGAGAAAAACCCAGGAGATGAAAATAGAGTTGTAAATGATACCTGAGTGTTTTGATAGTCTGTGCAGTACAATAGATATGTCTTACAACAAACCAAGGGGCACACTTGGGAAGCCTGAAGGGAATTGGGTACTTTGAAGACCTTTTTCTGAGAGGAAAAACTGCTTTTGCTTATTTAAGATTTTTGGACTTGGCTGGAAGTTGAGATTTAATCTCCCAGGTAAGTGCCAGGATTTAAAATCTGGTACAAATAGCTGCTGTCTGAACCTGAGCCTTGCAGACAGCACACCTGGTATCCTGTCATTTGTCAGTCTGTCACCCTAGCAAACAGCTCAGTGAATTGTTCTTCCCTCTTCAGAATCTGCCGCTTTAATCCCTGCTGGCTGCAGGGATTAAATGGTTACCAAGGCTGAGGTGAGTGGTGGAGGTTTTCATTTTATTCTCTTTCATTCTATGTGTTCCCTGCTTTATGATGCCCTCTGGATCTCCCTCCCTTCTATACCTGAGTCTTACTGTAAGACTTTAAGACAAATTTGGTTTTGGCCTCTCAGCATCTTGTTACTCACTTTCTAATCCTTCTTGCATTTTCCTTTTCTATTTTCCAAGTGCAGAAGTTTCTCATTGAAGACAGAGTGCTGGTGAGAGGTGTCAAGGACCAAGGACAGGGGGTTTAAAAACCAGTTTGGTTTGCCTGTACTCACAGTTAGGGGTGGACACAGGACACAACTCTCTAAAGCTTTAGGAAGAGACAAATTCTAAGCAAAGTTTACCCTACGTTTTTCTTTCAATATCTCTCATAGAACTCCTCAGCAGGTAAATAACTGTGAGCAATTTCAGATTTGGTTCTTGGTACAAAGGGGCTGGAAACCAAATGGTTTTTCCCAAGTAAGTGAAACATGAGAAATGTCTTGACAAAGGCCTTTGAATATGAAGTGTGGGACAACATGTCTGTTGGGGGCTAGTTGGTTGTTCATGAGCTGTCTTTCCTTTGAAGGTGAGTTATTTTGTCTAACTCAGTTCTCAGCATATTTCTCTCACAGCAGTAGCTTGTTTGGAGCTGGGCTGTGGCTGTGGCTCTGTCCTGAGCTCCCCAGCCCACCCCAGGCAAAGGTGGCCTCCCCTGGTGCTACCAGCCCCTGTCCTGAGGCTGGCAGCTGCGCCAGAGGTTGTTCATATGTTGTGTTTCCTTTGAAGGTGAATTATTTTGTCTAACTCAGCTCTCAGCACATTTCTCTCACAGCATTAGCCTTTTTGGAGCTGGGCTGTGGCCATGGCTCTGTCCTGGGCCCTCAGCCCACCCCAGGCAAAGACGGCCGCCTCTGGGGCCTGAGGCTGGCAGCTGCACCAGGCCTTGCTTGTGCTTTCACAGTGATGGAGGGTGGCAAAGGAAATCTGCTCTTGTGGTGTTACATTTTAGTTAAATAGTTTGCTCTGTCTCACCCTTCGAAAATGTAGGGTTTATTCCAGGCCTATGATTCTCCCATGAAGCCTCATGGATCTGTAATCCCATTGGCCCAAGGCTTATCCTGTGCCCATTTTTAATCTCCCTGGTAAACTGTGAGGAGAGACCACAGATCCTCTCTTGGCCCTTTTGTCCCCAGGCTCTCCCTCTCTCCCCTTCCCTCCCCTTCCCCCCTTCTCCCTCAGGAACCCTGCTGGTCCCGGGGTGGGACCCCAGTAAACCCTCAGCTGATGAGCCCCCTGAGCAGCCATGTGGAGTCTCCTCTCCTTGCCTGCTGCTACCAGTGAACACACAGCCCCCTAGAAACCCCTCAATCCAACTGCAACCTGCTCTGCATGGTTTTGGATGCATCTTTTGGAAAGGTGCTTCCACGTCAAAATGTATTATTAAATACACAGGGACTCCTGTGTCCTTAGGCTGGAGGAAGGCTCTGGACTGAATCAGAACTCTGAACCCAATCCCCACATAGGCCTGTTCCTTCAGAGCTGGGTTCCATGTCCCTTGTGGGTCCCTCCCAACTCAGAATATTCTGTGATTCTGTGAGTCTCATCCCTTGATCCTTCTGAGATCAAACTCTTCTGGTTTATGTTCTAGTGTGAATGGAAGACAATAAATTTCCTTTATCAAGTTTTTGAAAACTCTTGAGGGTGGCCAAGCCAGCAGAAGCTCTGCCTCATTCTCCTTGTGCTTCTCAACAATGCCTACCCAGCTCCTGAAATTTTATCTTCTCCTCTTCTGTCTTGCAAAGCATGTAGCACAGTGATGATGTATCTGTTGCCACTGTTTTCAGTACTGTGATAAATCAGGTAAGAATAATCCAATCCATTTTTACTGACTTTGCCTTAGGCTCACTTACAGGTGATACTCCACAGAGTATTTTCTGCATTACAGCCCCTAGTATTTTATGCTATATAAATATATAGGCTTACATAGTATTGCATTGCTATTCAAGCTTTGTTTTAACTCCTTTCTATTGGAAGCAGCTTGCCTTTCTGTATCAAGTATCACAGTTCTCTCAACATGCTGGTAGTGTCAGCTGCTTCAAGGCTTTTTGTTCAGTGGGCTTTAAAATTATGTCTCCTTTGGGGCTAATTGCTTTGTCTTTAGGAAAAATCTCTCAATATGGATTGAGTGTGCTGCTAAATTTCATTTAGCATATGAATTTAAATTTCTAATTCTCTACATTGATTTCTGTGGTTAGAAATTCTGCACATTAGGCACTAACCTTTGCAAAGGCTTTAATGTATGTGATGCTGGGAGCAGAGATGAAGCTGTTCCTAAAAATGAAACACTGTGGAACACTTTTTGGGGATTGGCATGTAATTCAAAGATGAAGTCTAGTAAATCAGCCTGCTCTAAATTAAGCCTTCTGATTTAAGGCCAAATGTTGTTACTTTTAAAGCATGTCAGTATAACCAGGGAAAACTTGAGCCAAACTCAATTAACAATTATGAGGAAATTTGTTCTTTAATTTTGCTTTTGATTTCCTTATATAACAGCCAAGAAAAGCCTTGGTAGCTGTTGCAGCATTACTACTATTACTATTATTAATATTTTCTCATTACCATACAGACTTGTCTCAAGAGCTGCAAAATTTCCTTGCTGGCTGATTTACATGCCTTAATTGTTTAAACAAACAAAAATAAACCCATGCCAAAACTTAGCAGTTCTGTAAGCAATCAGTATTTCTGATGCTGTAATAACATTTCATTTTCCCACTAGCTAGTAAAGGTATCGAAAGGATTAATCTGTTGGAAATTACACCTCAGAAAGTGGATTTTGAGCTATGGAAAAGGAGAATTAATCATGAGAGCCTCTGATATTAGTTAAAGGTTCAGGAGCTGCTTAGCCACAGGGAGGTCTGCTCTGAACTTTTCTTTTAAAAGCAAGCTGAATATTTATGATTTCCATTAACTAACTATATATTCAGGCTATTATTTAAAATGTGGAATCTTTTTTTACATGTGTGGATATATACACACAAACCACACCTTTTTTCTAGCTAAATATGTATTTTAATCGTACAGTTAACAGCTTCATACAAAGAGAAGAATGTAAGCTGTGTTTCTTTTTAGTGTCTACCATCTGAAAGATGGAGATGAATAGAATTTTAATATATAGATATAGATATTATTATTATTTTATTACAAAAGTATTTCTGAATAATTAACTAAGATAATGAATCCATAATTTTTGTGCCAGGGCCATGGAAAGATACTTTTAAAATTACATTCAGATGGCTGTTACCAAGGCTACTGAATATGATAGGTTTTGTTTTCAAATACTGTGAAAGAACAGTAGCTCAGTGCTGTTCTCACATTTTGCATTTTTAGAAGATTCCCTGGTGTGAAAGTGGCCATACTGCTACAGTAACAAATCTCCATATATTTATTAAGTGCATGATTTTTTTTCCCCCTAGTGTATGGCACAAATAAAATATGCAAAACACTTTCTGAGGAGCATCTGATGTGTGAGTGATACTTGGCTGAGCCCAGCTGGAGAGGAGAATTGGTCTCTGGAGCAGTGTGACAGCACCTGACACCTGTCAAGAGACAGGAGCAGCATCAGGGTCCTCTCCTGTGCGTCCCTTGAGCTCCATGCTGAGCCTGCTGCAAACTTTGCACATCTCCATCCTCCCCAGCTGGCTCCTGAAGCAGACTGAGCTCCCTGCAGGAGCCCTGCCCCATCAGGGATGCAGGAACCCCCTCCACCTCCACATCAGGGCTTCAAAACTGAGAGACTTGGGATTTACATCACTGCAAAGCTGAGACACTTGGGATTTACATCACTGCAAA